TCACTACCCCTCCCTTAACAGCCTCAGCAAACGATCTAGAACCCGGGCCAATACCCTCACACGGCAAGCAGATCAATTTGGGAGGAGGATCAAAAGATCTCACAACAGCAGGATGACAATTAGCCCTAGTAAAATTCCCAGCAGCAAGCAGATCCTTCCGCACCCAGAAGGTAGTGGGGAAAGGTTTAGGGAGGAAAGGGTTAGGGTTACTGTGGCGGCGGGGAGGGGAAGGGATCGACCACAACTGGCCATAGTGCTCCTCTATATATTCTAGGTCATGGCTAGGCTGGGAAGAGCACTACCAAAATTCATTTTCCTCACAACCACGCACCCATGGATGGAAGGTTCGCATATCTTCGGAGCAGGAATGGGGCCTCTCTGCTTTTGGTCACTTTTTCCTGAAGCACATGCTCCTAACTTTTCCCCTTTTTTCGAATTCAAACTAGACTGGGCAGTTCTTCCGCCATCAACCTCACATGATTTATCCTTACCATCAACCACCACCCGATTTTTTGATGTCAAATTACCAGCAGGGAGAACCCTCGATTCCTCTTTCTCTCGATTATTAACTATCAAACTGTCAACAGAAAGGGAAACCCCCGCATACGGAAAACTAGTGCTATGAACTTCAACTGGATCAAGTATTTTTGCCATATCAAATCTGCGTCGCGCATGAAATTCACGCAAAAATCTCATAGAATTGACAGAAATGATACCCGGAATCATACCTTGGTCGCCAGGCCAAGGTGGGGGCTCGATGCCGTGTCGGCCGCCCTCGCGAGCTCGGTGTAGGCCTCCAGGATGCAGACCTCCACCGTGCACGCCGCGGACAGCATCATCGACGGATGCTAAGGCCGGCGAGGAGGAAGGGCCCCGGGTGGAAGCACCCCGGAGGGGATCCTGGATATCGCCTCCATGGGCGGCCTTGCGATGTTGAGGCGAGGAGGGTTGGATCGGAATTCCCTCCACCACGCAGCCTGCGCCGGATCTGGCGAGTCCGCTTCCTGGATCGACCAGAAGAGGAACTCCACATCCTATACGCCATCGTCGCCGGTGAATCTCGCGTATTCGTCGTACCTGGCGTGCTGCAGGATGCTCTCGAAGATCTCCGACCACATCGAGCGGTCCGGGAATCGCTCCCGCACCACACGCTCCATCTCCTGGTACGCCTTCGGTGAGTTCACATCGACTGGAGGAGGCGGAAGCCGCAAAGGCGCCGCCACCCGCGTCGCCGGCTGAAGGCGACGGATCTGAGCACCCCGGCGGCGAGGTGCTGTCAAACATTTGTCTGAAAGTAATTCAGGTTATCCAAATTTTAAATGTACTGCTGACGTCTCAGTTCTGTGTTGCCAGGTCCTGTGGATGCACCCGAGGATGCTTCCAAGGAGAACGTTAGCCCCACTAAGGAATCTGATGAGGTTGAAGACAATGGGTAAGTAATTAAAACAGACAATTTTTACGTACTAGCATTTTTTAGTGCCTTCTGTATTTTACATATATGTTCTGTGTATAATAATTGGCCGAGTCCCTTTATGTTATTTTTAGTTAAATCTCCATTTGCACCTGACTGAAAATCTGAATTCGTTCCTGTTGTTACACAGTTATATGCTTGCCATTCTTGTACAAGCTTAATTTTAGTTACACAACAATGCCTTGTTATTCTTATATAAATAAAAGCTGAATTTTATTTACACAGGAATCCCTTGCCATGTGTATAATCTCAGATTGTTGAGATACAATTCCTGACTTCTGTTAAGCAGTCAGTGGGTTGTCGATTATAAAATCATAAATTCTTAGTGCCAGATGTCCTGATCTTTTTCAAGTACACGCAAATCTTTCTCCTTGACTATTTAATGGGATTAATTGATGTCATGTAGCATACTTGACTCTTTAATGATGGGTGTATCATTGTTCACAAGTATGTAATCTTTCTGATGCAGGGAGGTACCACTGAAGTTCAGGAACTACCTTCCTCATGATGAGCGGCTCCGAGGTGGCAAGGTGGCACCGCTGTCTCTTCCCAAGTTTGAAGATCCGGTCGCTGCTGATGCTGCTGAACCAAAGCAGCTGGAGGTAACATTTCTGGATCCACCGTATCATACCTTCACGATTCTGTGACATCCTTGCATCTTTCACGGGGCAAAACTCACCATATGTATCTGCAGAACCCCTTTGGGAACATCGCTCCAAAGAACCCGAACTGGGACCTGAAACGTGACGTCCAGAAGAGGATCGACAAGCTGGAGAAGCGCACTCAGAAAGCTCTGGCGGAGATTGCATGTGAGTAGTAACTGCTACTCCCTCCGTTCCTAAATATAAGTCTTTGTAGAGATTTCACTATGGACCATATACGGATGTATGTAGATGCATTTTAGAGTGTAGATTCATCCATTTTGCTTCGTATGTAGTCCATAGTGAAATCTCTACAAAGACTTATATTTAGGAACGGAGGGAGTAGATGTTTGGTTCAGTTAGTTTTGAGCTCAATTTCCTGTTGTGCATTCACTAACTGCTCATGTTGAACCACTCTGTTCCTGCGCAGTGGAGCAGCAAAAGGAGAAAGAGGCGCTGGAAGAGGGAGGCGATGCAGCTCAAAAGTGAAGCAATACTCTTGGCGGTCCCCATGTATTTGCGTTGATCAGATGGAACAACTGAAGCCAGCATGGGAGTAATGCAGGGAAACTAATTGTAGACCTGTGCTGCCGTGAACCATGGATGACTTCTTTTCAATCAATCAACATCCATATTTTTGAGTTCTGTTGATGGTTAGTGTTCGAATTAAACATGATTTGTGTAAGAACTAGCTAGTCATGATCTGTCTCACGGGTTGGTATGTCTTGTACGACAGATGATGATTGTATCTGGGTGTCCATCAGTTCCTACACATTTATAAATGCTCTGCACATGCAAGGAGCAACTGTAACCTGAGGTCAGATCACGAAGAGTAACCGCAGTACTTCCAGTTCCAATCAACCAAGGCTGTCTTCATTTGGCAAGCTAAAGTAGATATATTTGAATAGCTTCCCTATTTGATATATCTATTAATAATCAAAAAATGAACCGAATGACTCTGTTTCATGTAATTACAAGAGGATACGGATAAATTTAACACACAAGAGGCAATCAAATGTAAATGTTTCTATTGATGCATGATAATGGCAGTACACATTGTAAGAACCTTGGTCATCAACTAACCGCATATTACAACAAAGCAATGAGGTTAAGTAGAAAGAGTACAGTTTATTTTCCCAAAAGTGCATGCTGTAACCAGCACTAATAACAATCCACAGGTGCAAAGATTTCACGCAAACCAGCAAAGGTTTGTAAACACTAGATCAAGCTAGTGGTAGTTAAAATACAAGGGGAATTAAACAGATACAATGGAGACCCTTCGGCCCAAACTTAATTCTTCCAGCTTCACAACAGGCGGCTTCAGATGGCTAACCAGCTGGTGCTCCAAACTGTCTTCGGTGTTTCACCAATGGTGCCCATAAGCAAGACAAGCTTCAGTTCAGATAGATGCTCCTGGACAGAAAATCGACATGACCACCCACTGGAGCAGTCAAGTCTGAGTCGCGGCGCAAGGTTCAGAAAGGAACTCTGGTTCATCTTGGTTCTCAGGGACAGCGAGGCACTCTTGTTCATCTTGGTTCAAAGTGGCCATCTCCAGACGCAACTTTGGGATCTTGCTAAGCCGCTCCCTCCACTCTGGCACATTGTCTTTAAGCCCGTAGATTTTAAGGCTCCGCAGGTTGAGCAAAGACAGGGATTCAATATGGCCATCCAAACAATCTTGACTATCCTCCTTGAGTTGTACTGACAAGGATTCAAGATGGACATGACAATTGATGGCAGAGAAAAACTCTTTGCTATTATTCTTGTTGATCCCAGCCACCCCAAGCTTGCGCAATTGGGTGAGCTTCTTGAGGTACCAGATTATGTTCCTATCTGAAGCACTGATATTGACCACGCCGAGTGTATGCAACGCTGTCAGGCAGTACCCAATCCTTCCAGGCACTGCAACACCAAATAGTGGCGCTAACCTCAACTTTACACTTTGCGGCATTTTGTTACCGGCACGGATGTACTGCAGATTGTGTAACTTGATGATGCTAAGTGGCAGGATGAGTATGGAGGTGCCCCTGACGTCCAGAGTTTGGAGCTGCTTTAGATCACCTAATGACCTTGGCAGATTGTAGACAGTATCACATCCTCGTAGAGAGAGGAACTTGAGGCGAGGCAACCTTTCCACCATACACTCAACATGATCATCCATTATGCCCACTGCATTTTCTAGATCAAGCACCCGGAGAAGCTTCATTTGTTCACGGAGGAAGAAATAGCACAACTTCCCAAACACTGTGAGTGATCGCAGCTTTGAGAAGTCAATGCTTTTGAAAACAGTTTCATCTCTATCCCAGGAACTGTGAATGATAAGGTGGCGCACTGTTCGGGTGGTTAGGGCATAATGACCCCTCAGTTCCAACACAAAATTCTCTTCCATCCGCCGTGAGACGATGTACTCATTCACGAAACCATTGATCTGGCAGATAACCATCCTTGTGTCACTCGGTGCAGCGGTAACTATTCTTCCGGATTCCTTCTGGATCAAGCTCAGGTCAAAGAGGTTGGAGAAGTGCTTCTCCCCATTTTCTTCTGCAGATTCTTCATGGTTGTCTCTTGTGTAACCTTCTGCAATCCACCGCCTTACTAATCGCCTTCGTCGGATGAAAAGATCTGGACCAAAAATTGGCAGGTAGAAGATACATGGCTTAAGCGAATCTGGACAAGTACGGAATATGGAATCCATCCAAGCAAACAGACCCCTTAGATTGTCATATTCCGGCTTGGTCTCCAGGTGGTGTATAAATCTTTCATTCAAAGAAAGAACATTATCCATCCTTGCGGCTGTCTGCCGGGCCAATACGTTTGCTACAGAAACAATTACTTAGGGAAGTCTCCCGCACTTCACAACAAGTTCTCTTAGGTCCTCATTTTTGTGATCCACTAGAAATGATGAATGATTCTTCTGATGTACCTGTTTGTCCAAACAATTCAAGAGTAATTAATTAATTGATCAGCATGGTAAACATCAATTGCATTGCATTCTGATGTTCGGTTGCAGCATACTCAGTATACGATACATGTTCAAGAGAATAATTGCACTAATTATTATATGAATGCATTACAAATGTTACTAACATGCTCTTTTAATGTGTAGTTTTCATAATACAAAAATCAAAATTATCGGTCAACTTTTTTAAAGATGAATCTAGTGATACCAATTCCATGTTATATAAAATAATGGAGTAACGAAATAGTTCTTGAACAGAGCTATGTCTTAATAAAACCCAGTGATGAACTTGAAGAGTGTTTTGTTTGGCTGTGACTTGACACGAGACTAGACAACTAGTGCAATGCAAAGAGGTCACATCAAACCCAGGACCTCTTGGCACAATAGGGGAGTACTTCACCACTATGCCAGGTCTATCTACGCAAAATACATGTTACATATCTGGACTGACAACAATCTCCCGTGGGGAATAGAAAAGAATATGCATACATTGCTGAACACATGGTGTACACATCCATCACATTTACCACCTGCAGTAGTAACTTAAATGACATAAATAGATTACTTAAGTTTGTAAGAACATGCATGATTCTGGGGAAAAGTAGGTATATATGTTAGAATACACACCTCTTTGAAGAGTTCAATGGCAGCATTATGTTCTAGACTTTTGACATGAAACGCAAGATCTTCATGGGATGCACAGTATCTGGCGATTGTTGCATCTGATGTAATGACGATGATGACACTTACAGAGTGTTGAGATAACAAGTTTGCCTGTATCATGTCCCATTCTCTCTTGGTCCGGAGATCATCTATAACAATGAGACACTGATTGTTTAGAAACTTGCGACACTCTTCAACGGGGTCCTCTTCTGAATGAGTATCAAAAAGTATGCTCCAACAGAAGTCATTTAAATTGAAGGGATGTGATACATCCACCCAACTGTAGCTACTGAAATGTTCATACATTTTGTCATGGTATAAGTTTCGGACAAGGGCTGATTTCCCAACGCCAGCCATCCCCCATACAGATACAACCTTTGTAGGGCCTTGGAGTGGCTTAGTTACATATTGACGGAGATCATTCATTTCTAGCTCACGTCCCACAAGTGGAGAATTATTCATCCAGTCATAGGCTGCCTCCTTTTTAGATGGGAGTATTTCATAGGAGGTGCTTCGGCTCACTTCGGACACCATTGGTTCCACACCTCTATGCCCGTTGCCTTGAGAACCCTGTGTATGTTTAGAGAGGGGCAAGAGGCACATAAGCACAACTACTCTTTTCTTACATAACTCAATCCAAGCTTTAAAGTATTAGCCACTTATATATTATATAAGTTGCACAATGTCCTACACAAGTGAACCTGGTATGTCTTTAATAATATTAAAGATCTAACATAGAATTATGAAGACCTAGTATGTGTTTGAGTGCAGTTATGGATAACTAACATTTGTGATATGTTTGTCTATTACTATGAAGATCCCTTTTTTGACAAATGATGAATTTTATTGGCTCAAAATGAAGCATCCAGAGGATACAAACACAACGAGCACACACTCACCCTCTGCATAGATAGCAAAACACGCAGGCAAATAGCACAGTCATGTAAGACCAAACCTATACATAGGCGACGGAAAAAAGAAAAACTCAGAGCGATCCGATCCACGATCGGCAAACTACTATAATGATTATATCCGCACCAATCATCTCATGAAAACACGCGGATGAAGAGTTCTTCAACAACAGCGCCTTCACAAAGGTAGCGACGCTCAACTGTTGTCTTCACTGGGTCCAACCACCCAAGGCCAGAATCTAGATTTTCACACTGAAGAACCTATCCGAGCATATTCGAGCAATACCTTCAACAAGTTAAGGACATAAAAACATTGCCATTGCCAGGTATAACCAATGCAGATCATACGTAGAGGGTGTTTGGTTGGGGTTTTACTTAGCTTTTGCACTTTGGCTTATAAGCCAAAAAAGCACCTATTTAGGCCTAAGGGCGTGTTCGGGAACCCTCCCGCTTCTCAAATCCGCAACTCCAGGTGTGGAGTGCAGCCGAACGATTCAATTCCTTGTTATGGGCGTGGGAAGCTGGCTAAAAACGCGGTGTAATATCCAAGGAGTTGTGGAGTTGAGAAATGCCAGCTCCAACAAAACCAGGAAGTAGGAGTTGAGGGTATATTACCGGTCCCTGCCACCGCGAAATGAGCCCCTCTCGTACCGATTCGCTCGTTCTTTCTCCTCCACACCCCGCACAGGCTCTTATTTTTTGCTAAAATAGCTACAGCCGACCGGGCCTGTGGGCCATCCCATCATTCCCACATGGTTTGCACTATGAGCCTGCTAAAATGTCTGTCTGAATGGGCCACAGAAGGGCAATATGCTGGACTTTAGGCTCGCTCCCTCGTGCGAGCGAGAAACTGTGTAGCTCAACAGATCACTGGATCCCGGCTCTCTCGTGAGAAGCTGGCAATCGGAAGCTGGCAGTGGAGTTCAAGATTTTGCGGCCACGGAGGAGTACCGAACACACCCTAAATAAGTGTTTTTTGGCTTTTAAGACAAAGTGCAAAAGCCAAGTAAAAGCCCAACCAAACACCCTCCTAGGCTTTCACCCCAAAGCTCGAGACTGGGATCCCAACCAAACACCATCATCGTTGTTGCTTATGTTTTGCCTCCCCCACTTTTCCGCGATCCCAACAGCTAGATGTGGTGTGGACCACCAACACTGCACAAACGTCCCTCTTCATCTAGATGTCGTCCATAATTTGAATCTCCCCACCAAATTCAACCACCGAATAGGAAGGGAAGAACCCTCACGAAGACCTTTCGGTGGTCAGCGGATGGAGCTTTGTGAAGAATAAAGTCTGACTGGGAGGGCGCCCGAAGCTAGGAAGCCGTCACTTCTAATGTGCTTCATGGCCATGCGCCGGACCAACAATGCCTCCAAGAATGGCTACCCCTATGGGAAGTTGTCAACCATGCCACCATTGGGGGAGCAGGGTCTTCGCTCAACTAGGTGAGGAAGCATGAGGTGTTGCCACGAGGCCCGATCGAAGGCTCCAGATGCGTTGGCCATTGCATCAAGAATCAAGACGAGGCAAAGAATCACGCTTCTGGCCTGGACCGACTACAGACAACCCTTTCGCTTATGTCTCGTGATGGCCGTCTCTAAGGACACATGGTGTGGGTAAGATAGTTGTGGCAACTCCCAGCGTCGATGTGCACTCAATCTGCACACATCTCTATGATCTAGAGGAGCAGGCCCCACCACCACCGCGCTCACCATCGGCGGCGACGAGGAGTGGAGGATGATGGGAGATAGGCGGCTATGGCTGGGGATGCCCCCATGTCGCCCGCGAGCGACACATGAGTGAGAACCTATTTTTCAGGGAGATTATGAAGATCTAAGGAATAGTGATTTATGTGAGTACAATTATGAAGACCTAGTGTACACGATCCGTTTATGTAAGGCCATGAATATTAAGTCGATTTTATTTTGGTACAATTATGAAGATCTAATGGTTGTGATCTATTAGTTGTAAAAATGTCCACTAAATTGGCAACCTCATTTTTCTTTTAGTGAGAACTTCTAGAGGAGGTAGATGTCAGGGAGGCACTAAAAAAATGATGAAATGAGGCAAGGCGAATGGCCTTGATTGTATCCCTATTGAGGTGTGGAAAGGCCTCAGAGACGTAGCGATAGTATGGCTAACTAAGCTTTTCAACCTCATATATTAGGGAAACAAGATATCAGAAGGATGGAGGCGAAGTATATCAGTATCAATCTTCAAGAACAGGGGGGTGTTCAAAGTTCTACTAATTACCTTGGAATTAAGATGATGAGCCATACAATGAAGCTATGAGTCAGAGTCATTGAACACTGCTTAAGAAGAATGACAAGCGTGACAAAAAATTAGTTTGGCTTCATACCTGGGAGGTCGAGCATGGAAGACATCCTCTTGATGCGACAACTTATGGAGAGATACATGGAGCAAAAAAAGGACATGCATATGATATTCATTGACTTGGAGAAGGCCTACGATAAGATACAATGAAATGACATGTGGTAAGCCTTGGAGAAAGATGAAGTCCCAACAATGTACATTAACCTCATCAAGGGCATGTACGAAACTGTTTGGACAATGTTTCTAACAAGTGATGGTGACACTGATGATTTCCCGAATGAAACAGGACTAAACCAAACGTCAACTTTGAGCCCTTATCTTTTTCGCTTTGGTGATGGATGAGGTCACAAGGGATATACAAGGAGATATCCCATGGTGTATGCTTATTGCGGATGATGTGCTGCAAGCCGGTGATAGTCAGATGAGGGTTAATAGGAAATTAGAGCTATGGGAGACAAACTTTGGAAGCAAAAGGTTTTAGGCTTAGTATAACTATTAACTAGGTACACGAGATGCAGTTTCAGTACTACTAGGCATGAGGAGATGGTTAGCCTTGATGGGTAAGTGGCACCTCAAAAGGACACATGTTGATATTTGGAGTCAATGTTGCAGAAGAATGGTGATATCGATGAAGATATGTGAGCCATCGAATCAATGTCGTATGGATGAAGTGACACGAAGCTTGTGGCGTTCTCTGTGGCTAGAGTGCCACAAATGCTACAAGGCATGTATTATAGGACCGGGATTCGCCCCGCAGTATTGTATGGCACTAAGTGTTGACCGAATAAAGTTGCATATACAATAGCTAGGTCTGACGGAGATGTACATGTTGAGATGGATGTCTGGGAACAAAAGAAAGGATCGGGTCCGGAATGATGATATACCTGATAGAGTTGGGGTAGCACCGATTCAAGAGAAGCTTGTCCAACATTGTCTGATATTATTTGGGCATATTCAGGGTAGACTTCCAGAAGCTCCAATGCATAGAGGATGGCTAAAACATGTTAATAATGTGAAGAGAGGTTGTGGTAGACCAAAACTTAATATGGGAGGATCCATAAAGAGAGATTTGAAGGACTGAAATATCACCAAAAATTCTAGTCATGGACAGAGGTGCATGGAAGTTAGCTATTCACATGTCAGAACTATGAGTTGGTTTTGAGTTCTTATGGGCTTATGAGTTTCAGTTCTAGCCTAACCCAATTGTTTGAGACTACAGACTTTTTAGTGTAGAGAAACTTATTTAACGAACGCACTTAATTTCATGACAGTGCCGAATGCTTCACTCCATGTTGAATCTTGACCGTATGAGTTTTCACATGCATTGAGTTCAAGACCCTGTCAACGCAGTATCAAAAAAAAAAGATTTTGTAGTCTATATAAATCCAAAGGCTAAGGACTAAATAAGTCTAGATGTGAGAGGGAGGGGGGGGGGTGTTGAAATATACTGCCCGCCTCTCTTCATCAATTCAAAGTTTTGAACGAGTTCACTGGAGCATGTATTCAATGGACGAGCATGGGCTTGCTGGCTGCTGTTGCTCACGTATGTTAGAGTGAGAGAGAGGCGCAGGGGCAGAGCAGTTTTACCTAGGGGACGATTTCGCAAGATGAACCAGGCCTCAAGTGATGAGAGAGAGATGGAGATTTTGTTTTGTTACCGAGTGATGCCGTTGATGTGCTGCTTCTACTAATATGTATACAGAGAGGGGCATGTGTCTAATGCTGTTGCTGCTAGTGCATACAGAGGAGATAGACAAAGTTAAGGTGTGTGCTACCTATGTGGGCGTGTAATTCGACAGCTATTATTTTTAGTTGCTCCGCTGTTGCTTCTCATTTGTACGAATGTGTGTTAAGCAAATTGCTATGATGAAAAATAAATAAACAATACAAGTATGATCTTTTGCAAAGCTGTGTTCAATTGAATGTTTATAGTAGAATCACGTTGTCTGATATACACGAGGATCGAAAAATTAGATGTTAGACATGATTTATGTTGAAATACTAAAATTGTATGTCCGGTAGCACTCACAAGCAATTACCTATATACTACTTAAAAAAATGTAAGGTTTCATGTTTCATTTTCTTTTCACCACCCATTCGTCCCACCTTTCCCTCATGATAATCAATCACTTTAATTTACTTACCTTCTCAACCAATTTCATTTTAATTTACTTATCAAACTTATCATCAAAATAAGAGGCAATTCAGGGGCAGGATTTGATAACATTTATTAACACAAGTGCATTAATAAGCAACTAAATCACAAGCTAACGTACTAAAAATATTATATCTCATTGCAATGCACGGGTAATGTCCTAGTTTACATAAAAATGACATTCCACGCATACTGATCTGGAGACAGAACTAGGCCAAGCATGTGCCCAATAGCCAACTTACCATTGCACGTGTTTTGTCAAGTGAAAAAAAAACAAGGTATATGACTATCATATCTACTGTTTTTAGTATGCAAAAAAGTTATTTCGTGAACTGTAGTTTTTTGGTTACACATACGAACGCAGTGGATGCCGTCCATATTAGATCCTACGATCAAGCACGCATCTAGTGGTTTGATTTTTGTGGCGTACAAATAGCTGTTGGTAGAGGGATTCGAACTCAAGCTACAAACTTGTAGATGACAACCAACTGATCTGAGCAATTGATGTGTACACGTAGAAATTTTATGATCTTAAATGTGATTCAACTAGAAGAACTAATGGTAGGATTGGTGAAAACCTGAACCAATAGCCTGGTCGATCCAGTTTTATTACTATGCGCACATCTCAACTTTTAGCAATCCTCATGATCAAATACCACGGTAACTCTTAACCCAAGAAAAAGAAAAATATACTTGTCCCAAACCTGCTAACTTACGTTTTTAAACACCATGGTAACTTTGACTCAAGAAAAAAGTTTTTTCAACCTATCCCGATAACTTTTGTGTAAATGACATGGTGTACCATAGACATGTTAACTTAGGTACAAACACCATGATAAATTTGTGCCGGAAAAAAAGTTTCCTAATAACTTGTGTGCAAATATCATGGTAAGAGAAATATCACACACCTTATGACTTACCTACAAAACACCACGGTAACTTTAACCGGAAAAAAACATACCACCACACCTTATGTGTAAATAGCATGGTAACATATGCATCGCATACCTGATAACTTACCATAAAACACGGTGATAACTTTGACCAGGAAAAATAAGTTGTTAAAAAACATACCCGCCATAACTTATGTGCAAATAACATGGTAATATACACATCGCAAACCTGATAACTTAAGTACAAAATACCACGGTAACTTTGACCAGAGGAAAAAAATACCCTAGTAATTTATATGTAATTAACATGATAATATATGAACTATGGACCTGATAACTTGCCTATAAATACCTGGTAATTTTGACCAGAAAAAAGTTGTTGAAACAGACCCAGGTGTCCTTAGTGTAAACACCACGACAAATTATGTACTATAGACGTGGTAACATACGTACTGCATGCATGGTAGATTTTGCCTCAACAAAAAAAATCATCGTATCAACGTGAGATCTAGGATAGAAGATTTCGCTGCGAGGGATTTAATGGTCAAAATGGATTTTGAATAACACTGACAATTTAAGCTACAAAACATTTTTCATTGTTGAAATACGAAGAATTTAGTATGACATCAACTTTTTGTCTTCCAATACATGCATACATGTCATTATAGGGAGGAATGCAGGTGAGAGGAGAAGGGAGTTGTTCTAATTTATGCATGCATGTAATTAGAGAGAGAATTAGTACATGTGAGAGAAGGAGGTAATTGTTCGTATCTATAGCTTAAAATCGAAATGTTCACCGGTTGGTAGGATTCTTTTAGTATATAAGATAGGATAGATAATATAAGTGATGGCTTATTATGTTTTTCAATGAAAATGACATCTGTCTAGTAGTCTCTAAGTCTAATTAGCTCCATAAATTTATATGAATTATTGTGCTAATGCTGAGTTAAAAAATTCAAGAAGTGAAAACGTACATGGATTTAGATTTTTATTTATTTTCGAAAGAGATGTAAATAAGAGTAATTGATGGTGTACATTACCTCCTTGAAGAGGACACAGACAGAGTGCTCATCCGAGAACTGCTTCAGTTCCGTTAGCTGGTAAGGATGTCCGACGCACAAGCTTGCTATCTCGAAGCGCTGTGTGGAGATGATGATGCAGCTGCCATTCTTCATGTCAGGAAGAAACATCCTGATATCGTGCCACTCCACCATGTTTGACAGGTCTTCCAAGACGATAAGGTATCTCTTAGTTTTGACTAGATACTCAAACTCCTTGGCGAGTTCTTCATGTGTGCCCTCCATCTTGGTTAATACATCCATCCTTACCATGGTTGATTCTTTGCAAGAGTTTGCGCAGAACTGAGCCACCAAGCTTCGGATGAACTCGCGGGGATTGAAAGGATGCATGAGCTTCACCCACGCGCGGAACGTGAAGTATGGGATGAATGATTGGTCATTGTACGCCTTGCTGATGATGGATGTTGTACCAAGGTCGCCATCGACTGTCTCCCATACGGAAATAACTTGAAGGTCTTGGACGTCTTTCTTGGTGATCAACTGCGCGAGATCCCGAAAGCATGGCTGCCTTTCCGTGGCATCCCTTGCCTTGAGGAGCATGTTGAGCGCTACTGCGCCGGCAGCATCGCCAGACGTCACATGTTGTTGCAGCTTGAACAGCTTGGGATCAGTGTCCATGATGTGGCTGTAGCGCAAGTAACTCCTGCTCAACTCCTCAGCCCTGGTTCTCATCTGCTGGATCTCTGCGACAGCTACGTCCAGAGGCAGTGGCGGTGAAGGCCAGCAAGGGAATAATCGAAAACACCAGGTGGACTTGTTGTCGAGCTGAACAACAAACTCGATGCAATCCTCGAGGTCGTAGGCGAGCTCACGGACCTGCCTCACCCAGGTCTTCACCAGATTGTTCTTGACGCGCTCCTCAGTGGCGACGTCAAGGAAAGAGTGGATCATCTCGAACTCCAGTGTGATGAGCACCATATTTCCCCGCGCGCTCTCCCGCAGTTTCGCCTCCTCTTCGATCGCCACCTTCACCTTGCTCAGCGCCGCCTCCACCACCGTCTTGGCCAAACCCACCACCAAGAGCTCCGCCATTGCTCTCTTTGTCTCTCTCCTATCTAACTTGAGTTTTGATTAAACACTTCTTGTGTGTGGTGCAAGTGCTAGTTGGAAAAGCTGTGCGTCCACGTACGGAGCACCGGGAGATGCCTGCCTTAAAGGAAATTGTTGGAGGTCGATCCATGACATATGAAACTGCAAGTGGGACATTTCAAAACAATGACTAAATTAGGCCACATCTTTGAGAGGAGCAAAGTTTTCTGCCAAACACCCCATGTGTACCTTTAGCACGAGCTTGTAATATCCTATGCCAAACACGAGGTCATGCACATGCATGCTGTCCCCTGTGTTTTGTGACTTGGAATCAACTTGCTAGATCTTGGTCAATATAATCGGGGCGCGGCCTGGGAACTCCAATTAAGAAATCAAATGCTTTGTGTACATCTGAATACGTATAGGATGTGTTTACATGTATATGTTAACAAGATTGTTGAACTAATGTTCTCAAGTTCCAAAAATCGCAACGGGAAAGCACCGCGATGCTGAGCAGATGCAGGAGGCCATGAAGAAGATCAAAGGAACATTGACAATCGCGCGTCAACAACCTCCGTAGATGGCCTCACCTTTTGGTGGAGTGGTAGTAGTAGGAAGCAGGGTCTGGGCTGAGTTTTGTTCCTTTGTTGTACCCTGTTCTCTAGCTGCCTCTCGTACTTTGTGGTTGTGTACTTTTCGTTCTAAGACAATTGAAGTTGTTTGCCTTGGTGGCTTTATTAATTGAAAGCCGGACGCTCCTAGCGTCTTCGTTTAAAAAAAAGAGTTCCAAAAAACGCCTCCTGGTGGAGCATACAGTTTGGACAAGGTGGTCACCAAATTAGCCATGCATTACTCTCACCTCTTAGTTTCTCTCTTCCTGGGTGTGCTTGCTTCTGATTTCTTGTCTGGTAGCTAGCGACCGAGGCTAGTGCTAGTATCATTGTGTTTTAACTAGGGGAGAGAGATGCCATTCTTAAAGGACAAATCAAACCATAAGCTATGGACCATTGGAACAGCTAATTAGACATTTTTAAACAAGAGGTACCTACTGGTCGGCCTGATCCATAAAGCCGCGCGCGGGAGCAAATTATTGGCTCGATGTTTCAAATTATAAAGTAAAATCATCGGCACACATAACAGCTAATACATTGTTTCAAGGGAACTAATATATTTACACGACTAAACCCTACAAGTCACTAGCTGATTCTCCTATCAGCTAATTGCAGAAACAGTCGGCTTTCCAACAACCATGCATTTGAAATTATAAAGTCAAATCATCTAGGTATGCATAATGGCTAATTCATTGTTTGAAGAGAACTAATATTTTATTTGACTAACCTTCAAGTCGTTCTTTCTCAATCTTTCAGGCTCGTTAGTTTTTGTGCGCCAATATGTTAAAGAATATGCTTTTGAAGCTCAACAGCTATAGCTAGCTGTTTGGCTATGCTGGTGACCGACCTCCCAATGTCAAGATGACTTTTGTTACCGTTACCCCTGTACACATCAATGCACGTATGAAAACTGTATGCAATTGAGAGATGTCTAATTTATTTATCATCACACACACGTAAGAGCTAATGCATCACTTAAAGTATCTTTACACGAGTAAGTCCTACTCCCTTTGTCCCATAATATAAGAGCGTTTTTGACACTACCGTCCCATTATATAAGAGCGATTTTGACACTAGTATTACTGTTTCTCTTATTTCCGAGAACATCCGGTTGATCAGGTGGAGCAATATTTTAACTACTCTTTGGACATTTCATTGTGGGGCCATGTGATAAAAATATGTACTATTGCTAGCTGTTGCCTGTGATGGTGATCCAACTTCCAATGGGCACATCAATGCACGTATAAAAACATGTTCACAAATAAGATATGCTCTCAATTGGTACATATAAATGAAGCATGTGGAGTTACGAAAAGAAACCAAAGCTTTTGAAAGATTTATGTGAAAAACAAGGAGCAAAAGTGCCGCCCATCTCGCTATAAAGCAGTATGCATGAATGCTCTAGCTGATATCAGGGTTCTCCCAATGCTGGGATCTTTGCAGTTATCATAGGCAAAATGCTGGTGAGACACTATAATAGAGAGAGAGAGAGAGAGAGAGAGAGAGAGAGAGAGAGAGAGGAGATGTATCTTAGCTAAGATACGACTCTTACATCATTTTTCGATGTAGTGTAATTAAATGTTTTGTCTTTCTTTATTTTTGTCTTCCTTTCTTCTCCCCATAATTATGCCACAATGTTGATATGCAACAAATATCCTTAAACTAATTAAATGCAAGATAACTTAGAAATAACCCCTAAGGTACAATGCAGTGGGGTGATTGTCTCTTATTCTTTTTTCTCTACCTATGATGGTGCATTTAGGAACAATGCATTGGGAGAGCCCTTAGTGTAATGCACAAGCATGAGAGGCAGGGAATCACATGCAATAAAACACATTAAATATGATGTAATGCACTGCATTAGTCTACACAAGATCATCTCACATGAAATGATTATATGGCTTATATGGTACCTCCCTCGTCTATTCCTTTTTTTCAGTTCATCTTTTTTTCAGGTTCTACAAGAATATTGGTTACATTTAAAAGGATTTCCATAGAATCTAATTAAGAAATCAAATGTTCTCGCATTGCGAAAACTTTATAATATGCACTACTCTTACTAATAGTCCATCTATTTCCAAATTTAAGCCCATTTAGATTTCACTACAAACTACATATGGATGTATATTGACGTATTTTAGAGTGTAGATTCACTCATTTTGTTCCATTCGTAGTCCATATTGGAATTGCTAAAAAGGCTTATACTTGGGAACGGAGGGAATAGAAAAATCAACCACCTGCGCCTATAACATGACATCACCACACTTACTTCATCGCAAGTGTGCACTCTCACTCCACATGCTGGAGGAGCCGCTCTGCTACGACGAGACATCAAACTGGTTAATTCGTATAATGGTTTTCCTTTGTCCCTTTGGTACCAAATAGCATGCGCTATGATGTTTTGCAAAAACAATTGCGGAATATTAGCTCAGAATAACTACTGTGTGTTGATGTGATTTTTATTTAATTTGTTTTTCCGAGGGTTCATTCCTTCTGTAGTCCATGTTATTTTCTGTGCATCAATGCGCTTAATCACTGATTAATCATGGAAAAAAGGGAGCTAACTAATGGCTCTAGCTGGTCAATGGAAGTGGCCTTGAACTAGCATCAATTATTTGCCAATTAACCTTCATGTAATGCTGC